CCACCAACCTCCTTTAACCCCTTTTAGCGATACGTGTGTGTACTTTCTTGACTTTGTTTGGCTTTGGCATTGTTATTAATGCTTGGCCGGGTCTTAACGTGAAGTTTTTAATGTTCATCTTGGCCGTCTATTTGAATTAGTTACATTGGATGGTATGGGCTGCGAAGCCCAACTCCTGAATATTGATGTACTGTTTACAGAACAAAAAATTTTTCGTAAATGCCTTCTTGTTGAATTGTGACATGATTTGATGAATTTGATAAATACTAAGGAGCATTTCCAAAAAGAAAACATTTTCTAATTTTAAAAATTAATTAGTTTTATTCTTATCTGAGCTGATAGCCTCAGTTTGAATTTCGAAACCATTGTTCAAGACTACATCGAGATGGTCACGGAGCAACTTAAGTGTCTAAATAAGATTATTATAATATATAATATAATATAATATATATCATAGGAATCGCCTTAGGAAAACGTTGAGCACAAAGTGGCCAAATATGTATCCTTAAAACTATAAATTTACCAGTTTTACCAGTATTCTGATGTTGCTATTAATCGTCACTGAGTGTACATATTTCTTATATTTTCATTCCGATTCTAAGACTATGGCTGTGCTATACAAATAGCATACTCTAAACTTTAGAGTCTAAAGTCAGAAATCCCTCTTCAAAATAACAAGATTTAGTTTGATTTACATTAAATTCTTTAAAATAAACAAAAGTACAAGTATTTTGATTTCTGTTGAAGGTATTCGATTCCCAGATGACACCGAATGTGCTCCAAAACGCTCTGACTTATGCGTATTCTTCAAAAACATTCTTAAATACAGCTCATAATCCAGACTTATAATTTAGAGATCACCCAACTATGTAAACTGGGAATAAGAAGTAAAAAGTGTTGTCAGCTAAATATTTTCAAAGAAAAACTGATATTTTTTCAAAACTCTTTCTAGTAACTTTCAATAACATACTGTACTTTTGCAGTCTTTGCCCATGACGTGTAGTTATGCAATCTGACATAACGCTCATGAGATGAGAGAGTCAGGTAACCACTCCACTGAACTCTGGTGGCCCAAACATGCCAGCAACGAAAAAAGCGTGCACGAAGCCCTTGCCAATGGCCATCAACAACAAGCCGGAATCCGCAGTGAGATGGGTGATTGCGAACTGAGACATAAGAACGAGGACTCGGACGACCCACTCCAGTGCCAGTGCCAGTGCCAGCCGACCACAAACCGAACATTGTCCGACTCAATTTCGCAGATTCATAAAAATGAATGAGTGCAATGTGGCAGGAGAATCCCTAAATCGTCAGATATAGCGGAGCGAACCGAGTTATAGGAAATGAAAAATCAAGTTTTGCGGAATTGACTCTCAAGTGATGGAACTCCTTGGAACTGGGAGGGCTCCCTCCCCCTCCCGTTGAGATCGTTGGAGGACGACGGCTGCCATTAAAACGAATTGCACTGCACTTTGTGCCATCAACAGAATCAACTGCCGGCAAACGAATGATGCACCATAGGATGACTTAAAATACAAAATAAAATAAGCCAGCGGAATAAGGAAAAGCGAGCGGACGAGAGGAAAGAAAAACATCAGCGCAGAAAAGAGGGAGGAAAAGGGGGCAGCGGGAAAGCGACAACAGACGGATCGGAAAAGCCAGGGCCCAGAGCAGGATGGCGCGAGAAAGGAGATGAAACCGAATCCAAATCCGAACCCGACTCGCAGAGGCAGCCAACAGAACATTGCACGCCATTTCAATAAAAGTGAATTGCCCGACGCTGCGATGGCGACGTCGTCGTCGTCAGAGGACGCCTCAAACTTCAGGCTCTGCCTCCTGCAGTAGGAGGACCCTCATCCGCAGCGCCTGGCCAAAGAATCCGAAATGGACACTAGTCGGCGATGGGAACGTGACACGGCATGAGACAAGTAAGGGAATACTGATGATTATAAATATTTTTGAGGATAATGAATCACACTGTCATTTATGTTTACTATACCAAAATAACAAATCGAATAAATTAGTTATGGAATTCGATTTTTGGCTTCGCCCTATTTAAAGGAATCACATCTGAAAAGCTGAGCATAAATAAGTACACTAAACAAATATCAGAAAAGTAAAAAAAATGTGAATAATAAGAAAGGAATGTTTCTGGTTCTTTTAAGATTAGTTTTGGTTTAATCCTCAGCAACTTAATTCTATGAAAAAGGGAGTATATTTTGACTGAGTATCAAATACGTGACAGTCTTCCCTTGTCAAGTGTACATTTCTCAGTGTAAAAATTTCGATATAAATTCAATAGATGATATCTCCGAGAGTTATAAAAAATATTTTTTAATTTTAAAAATTGATTTTAAAGGGCAAGAATAAATATTTTATTATAACGAAACGTTCGTTTTGAATAAAAATTTTTACCTATTTAAGTTACAGCACCTCTGCACTTTTAAGTTGGAATATCTCAAAAACCTGGAGTATACGAAAATTCTCTGAGGCAGGACTCGAGTTTAGTGAAACAAAAACCTTCGGAGAAGTATATTCCGATTCTTGGATCCAAAAAGCTGTCGGCCTGGTTAATACTTCCAAGTTACCGAGTTAGAAGAAAATATATTATTTTAAAGACACGTCCAAATTTACATGATCTTTCCAAAGTTTCGATATATCGAGTTTAAGAAGGCAAAAAAGTTAAATGACCACTTTTTATTTAGTACTACTAAATATGAAATGGTCCTGAACTACACATGAAGCAGAGATCTATCAAGAGATACATCTAGTTGGAATTGTACGTAATTTAAGTAAACACTTTGGAAATTTCAGTTATATTTGTATTAACGCATAATTGCAGAGATGCGATAGAGCACGGTTAAGCTAATTACACAGTTAAAAGAACAATTTCTTTTGGGTGAATTACAGTAAAGCTACAGTCCATGTATTTTGTTGTTTTGACTGCACGACAGCTTATTTGACAGTCAATTACAGACACCCTTATTTACGAGATTGTGTGTATATTTTTTGTCGGATTTGCGAACAGTAGTAACTGTCAGCTGCAGTCAAAAGACTGGAGGTTTTACGTAAAAATTTTCTATTTTTAGCTATTTTTGACTCAGTGGCCCAGTTGGTAAGCGGACGGTCTGTGAATTTTGAGACATGGGTCGAGTCCCGGTCGGGAATCAAGAAATGTAAGTTTAGGTGGATTTTAATATGTTTTATACACTAATTTAAGTGATTTAATAACCATTTTGTAGCTCTATAATTACAGATAAAAAAACTTTTACAACAACAATTGGTTCAGTTTCTACAGTAAAATAGTGAATTTTACTGTTTTCGTAGTTTGTCGGCTTTCAACCACAAAATCGTGGTTTGATTTATTGTACAGCAGTCATATCACATAACGTGTTACGACGTTATAGTGCAGCTTACAGTTTATTAAACCCAAAATTTTGGATGTTGTTTTTTGACCCACAGAATGGTTGGATTTACTGCAGGAATTATGTCTGTGTAGTCTGAATTTTAAAACAGGCTTCGAATTAGTAATTCAAGTACTTAACTGAAGCTTTCAATCCATCGATAGCAACATATTTAACTTTCAAAAACAGTAACAAACCCAGACTTATTCAAGGCCTTTACAGATCTGTTCTGTTAAATTAATTCTTACAGCCGTGTATAAAAAACAAAAATAAATGTATAACACTTTTGAGGGATGAATAATTCTCTAGTTTAGAAAAAAGTAAATTCCAGCTTGTATAAATAAAGCTAAAACACATCTCGCACGCATCTCTAACACTGCAATCGTCTAAAATTGCGATCTGAAAAAGCGACCGTAAAACGGGAGTTAGCTGGAGTCTGGAATTCCGGAAGCGTGTGTAGCAGCGCTCCACTGTTGACATGACTGACGACGATGTCGTCGTCGTCGTCTCTGGCTCCGTCTCCTTCTTTCGGGAGCCGGGACTGAGGCGTTCTCTGAAAGTTTGTCTTAGCTCAGACACTCCTCAGCTCCGCTGCTGCTCGCTGGCTGGCCACTTGGTCTCGTTAGTCGTAAAAGCAAAGTATCTACATCAAGCGGGCACAACAATAACTTCAAATGAGCATTTTAATAAATTTTTCAAATAATCACTTGAAAAGTGGAAAATTCTTTACCCCAGCGACGACTCTCAGTCTCCGTTTGCAATTCAACTTAATGTTTGCTTAAGGAATTAGTTGGCAGAGGCGACCGTGAAGTGGAAAAAACTTAGCAAGTTATGAGTAGTTTCGAGGAACAACGGAAATTGGACGTCTTGGATCGGGCAGAGCTAATGCTCTGATGGGAGCTGGATGGCTTAAAAAGCACACCATTTAACATAACGCCGTTAAAAATAACCTTTAATACGAGAAGTAGTAGAAATAATCCGAGAAAAATACACTCGTAGGACAATGAATCCTTTTCTGGTACCCAAAAGGCATGAGTATTGGGACTGGACATTCCTATCCTTCCCGCCTCCATCTTTGTTCATATACATAAATATTTACACCCGAGTGTAAATGGAAATTGCAGTTTTCGGTGGAATAGCCCCAGGCTTGATTTGCGAGTGCATTGCATACTTTGTGGCTGCTGCAGTCCACACATGAGGAGGGCCTCCTCGCGTTTTTTGGGGCAGGAATCCCCGCACTTAATGAGTTGTATTTTGTTGTACTCTTTCGGTTACTTATTCTCACATACTGCAGCTCGGAATTTTTAATTAATGCAACCCACGAGCACGAGGTTCCACGGATTTCATTTGCAGGAATTCCCAAACCAACAATTTTTTGCTACTTTCTTGTTTATTTGAGACTTCTATTAACGGCAAACTATTTGGGCGATTTTCGGGGACTACAATTAATTTGCATGACATTTTCATAAGGACACCGCTTCGATAGCCCGGGGCTATTCTGAGATTCTAATTAGCGGTCTTTGTGCGTGGAATTACATAGTGGAAGGAAGAGTTATCGAAAGGACTTCGGTGGGAAATGTTGCTTAAATTACTTACTTTTTGGACAGTACTTTGGCACAGGTCCGGCACTGATATTTCGGCTTTGCCACTTTGGTCGAATCGTCCTTGGCTTTGGGAGTATCCTTTCTCTCGCCGTGCATGGTGGCCACATGATTCTTGAGGTTGTGTCTCCTTGCGAACTTCTGGTGGCACTCTGTGCACTCGAAAATCTTCTCATCTGTGTGGTTTCTGAGATGGGCTCTGAGAGAGTGCTTCCTGAACTGCTTGGGACAGAGCGGGCACTGCAGCAGCTCGTCTCTCCCTATTGTTCCCGGTCGCGAGTGGAAAAAGCGGTGGTAAATGAGATCGGACTCATATTGCGACTGGAAACTGCACTTGTCGCAGGAGAACGCTGCGGCGCTTTTAGCCGCAGCTGCGTTAGAGGCACCGGAGGTGGTGGCCAGGGGCTGACAGCTGCGCGTGTGCCTACCCAGCGCCTGGGCGGATTGGAAGCTCGATCCGCAGCTGAGGCATACATGGTTATTGTCCGGATGCACTTCAGCTCGATGATGTGCCAACCTTTGTGGGGAGTCAAAAACCTCCCTACAATTTGAGCACTTTTTCTCGGCCAATTTATTCCTCTTGGCAGGCGGACTGTGGGCCGGTTCTGCCAGCACTTCCCTAAGCATATGCTCTATGTCCTTTTCCGGTTGGGAACTGGAAATAGGTGCCTTGGTTCGCGACCTCTGCTTATGTTTCACCAAGCTCCGGTGACGTCGCGCCTGCAAAGGTGTGTCAAAGTCCAAGCGACATATGGCACAGTAATACCTTGCCAGGTGGTGCTTGTGCTTCTCGTGACGCTGGAGTGCCAATCGCGACTTCTGTGGCGTGCCACACAGCCCGCACCGAAATCTGCACTGATACTCATCAGCTGCGGTTCCCGAAGGTGCCAGTCCGGGATGATCGGAGGCGAAGTGCCGACGAAGCTGGAAATTGTATAGAACGCTCAGCCCGCAATACGGACACTGGATAGGTCGCCGCTGGGCAATGCATATGGGAACCGACCGGTTCAGGACCAAGAGCACTTCTTTGTGAGATGCGTGCAGCAGGTGGAGCCACATGGACTCATTGGTGGCGCACTCAAACTGGCAGTACCCACACCAAAAGGATCCCCCCAGCCTCTGGGTTAGTTCCAAGTGCTCCTGGCACTGCCAGTGATGCAGAAAGGCATCCTCCGTGTTGGCGTAAAATCGGCACGGGAGGCACTGAAACGGCGCCTGCCTCACGATGCTGCCCATGTGGCTGAGAATGGTCTGCAGGGACAACTGCCTCCTCAGCGGATTCTGCTGCTGCAGGCGCCGGTAGTGATAATGGGATATCAGGTGCTTGCCCATCAAATGCCTGGGCATCCTGCGGCGACAGAGATCACACCGCAGGAGACTCGATCTCCGCGGTCTCTTGGCGGGATGCAGCTGCAGCTCCTCCTTCTTCTCGCTGGTCTCCACAGCAAAGTCCTTGCTAAGGGTGAGTTCTTCTCCGAGGGTAGCCTGCTCCAACTGGCACTCTGCATCAGCCCTTTTCAGATGGTAGCCACTTCTCAAATGTTGCTCGTAGTTGGACCGACTTTTGAGGCGCCGGCAGCAGATGTTGCACCAGTAACTGGTCCCCGGCTGTTCCAGTTTTGTGAGGTCTATATTTTCCCGATACTCCAGCTGCTTGCTTCCGGGCACCCACTTGCCCTTCGTATGATCCGCCGGAGGGTGAGTGTACGCCTCCTCGGGTGGATCGTCCCAGCTGGGCGATATTCTCTCGATATGCTGGTGCCGGAGCTGGGGACGGTGTTCGGGCTTCCACTTACCGCCAGTGTGGGTGGCGGGCACTGTGGGCGGAGAATGGTGCCTGACATCGTACTCCTCCTCATCCTCTTCCGCGTCAAAGTCATCGGCTTCCTCGTCGTCGTCCTCTTCTTCACTCGCTTCTGGGGAGTCGTGGTCGAAGTTCAGGGGCTTGAACACCGCCTCGTCGTGTTCCCTCACTGCTTTCAGGAGAGGATCGCCCCTAGGCGCTGTCCAGGACTCCTCTTTGGCTCTATCCTGGCGCGGCACCGATCCGGTTTTGCCCCCAGTGGAAACACTTTGCAACTGCAGCGAGGAGAAAAATAGGTCAGCTCCCAGCTCGTACGGCAGATCGTAAGCTTCGGTCAGGGACTTTGAGGTTTTGCCCCCATGACTGGCAGTTGTTTTCCGGAGGTAACTACTTGGGGCCTCCGGTTCGGCAAAGTGAAAGCCATCATAGGTGTGATCCAGATGACTGCTGCGACTGATGATCGTCTGGGACACCACTGGAGTGGGAGTGGAACTGGTTTCTGGCCCATCTGTAGCTGGCGTACCTTCTGGCTTCACCGTCATCAGGCAATTTCGCTTCCTGTGCTCAATGTATTTGGTGAGTCCCAGAATCGTAGCATTGCACTTAATGCACAGGTGGGTGTCCTCAAGGTCTTCAGTGTTCATGATGGAGGCCTGGAAATAGTAATGTTAAAATACGTTCTTAATAAAATACACCCTTTGACGATTGTAAATAGATAATAAAAATTTCGTATATTATTTAAGTGCATATATTTATATTATATGGCTAAAATAATCGTGTTTCGGGATTTTAATTTTAATAAGTAAGAAATAGTCCAAAATGTCTTGATTTAAGCTTCTATAGTAAGCTTAGAAAAAGTTTATTTTTAGCTGAGAGCGATAGATTCCGATTTTATTGGTACAAGGTCTTCATAACGGTACATGCTTAAAAATTATTATTTTTTAATTGGTTAACTACTTTTGCTAAATTCCTAAACCCACACCATTGCCTTCATCTATTGCTTAGATACAAAATGGGTAAAAATATTAGTTCTGCGGGCAAACCCAACCACATGTCACAATATGATTCAATAAGATCCTGCCTCTCCAGCTGTCCACTGGTGCGTTACCCTGAACGAACTGTTCTCGGCTCCGATTGGGCAATATTTCAAGCCGGGACTTATTCATTAGAAGTTCCGGGAATCCACTCCGCAGTCCTCAATCCTTGCGTCCTCTGGCAACAGTCATGGGCCACCGCTGCGTTGACAAGGCTGTGTCCTCTTTCGCGTCCCTGTGTTCCGTATCCGCTTCCCCGTTACGTATTCGCCGTGTTGCGGCCTGTCAGAAATGAAGTTTATTGCGCCTGTGTTGCTGCGCCCATGTATGTAAGTCTGTCCTTGTCCCTGGTTCACAGCCATTATCCCTTTCCGGCCCCCGTTCGCGATGCTAAATGTAAAAGTGTCATTTCCGCCATATGTGAGCGCGATGAACGATGCGTCGAAGTCGACGTTGACGCCAGGAACTCTGATGTTGCTGCTGTGCCGTCGCGCTGTTCCCGCCGGTGTGTCCTGCCTCGGTTGTTAATAATTTCAGGGCACATTTGCAGCAACAACAATCGGTGGCAGCAGTTGGCTGGAATTTATACAAACGAGGCCCATGTCTGAGGTTAAATACGAAAAACATAACAATTCCAATGCAGAGGCTCATTCCCATACCCATATACCCATACACATACCCATTCTCATTGCCATTTTCATTGCCATTCCCGGATGATGTGGATCCAAGTGGGAATGCGTGATATGCAATACGGCTTGTATGGGCGATGAGCCATGCAAACATCCGCAAATGCCGCCTTTATTCATCTAACAAACAAGGACAATGTGGGCCTCCGCGTTCCACTTGTTGTTTTTGTAAGTGATAAACGAACATTCGCTTAACAATTAACGTGCTGGCAACAGCATCCCTCGCCCCTCCCACATTTACTTGGTCTGTACATTTTTAGACTTTCACCAGCCGTTGCGTTTTTTATAGCGCTAATTAGTTTGAAAGGGTGGTGACGCTTGCCACGTCAAACAGAGCAGCAAATGTCTCTGATTTACGATAATAGCTTATTATACATTTTGAGTTTGGCAAGCGAAAAAAAAGAGTTTATCCCAAAACAATCTCTTTAAAGATAAAATAGAACAAGAAAGGAAGCTTAGCTTAGGCACGCCGGAGTTTGTATACCCTTGCAGTTTGCAATTGGATCATTAAAAACCGATCCATTATGATTAAAATATATATAGCATAAACACTTCTAAACATTTGTCGATTATTTGCATGGCAGCTATATGATGATATATTCAGATAGAAACGGACAAACGGACGGACAGTCGGACATAGCTAGATCGACTCGACTTCATAGGGTCGGAAATGTCTCCCTCACTGTGTTCCTGTGTTCAAAACTTCTGACTGAAATTATAATACCCAGCAAGGGTATAAAAATGTAATTGTACACCATACAGTCTGTGATTGTCTCTACCGTCAATGCAAGCATTTAATACATTAATTCGTCAAAAGTGTGTGCATAAACATCATTTCATGTGGTCAGTTATACACGATTGTTCACTATGTATTTAAAATAGAGGTCAACAAATTATACAAATTGCATTAAAAGTGTCAGTAGGTAAAGGGAAAGAAATTCATTTTCAAAATATTTGATTTCAACAAAAATCCGACTTCACTATCTTTGCAAGTACAGGATCTTATAAATACATGAATTTGTAAACATAAACAGGGGTAATAATAGGTTTGATTTTGTTATTAGCTTTTAAACGTTGTGTCTCTGTAACAGGAACACCGACTTCAAAGAAATATTTCTTAATTTTTTTGTACGATGTATGCTTAATTCTAAATTAAGCTACATGATGGAACAAAGAAATATATTTTTGTTAAATTAGTTTTATTTGTATATAATTTTTACTAACATTTTACTTCCGACTAAGAGAAACAATGTGAACAAATTGTTGAATTTCTTTGAACGAAAAGGATATACACTTATGGACAAAATAATAGGTGTGAGATTTTTTATGTTACATCTTTGAAAAACATGAGTTCAAACTTGTCTTTGGAAATATTAAAAATATAGCTTATGTTCCCAGACTTGTGCAATGTCTTTATAAAATGTTTGTTTTGAATATACAATCGAAATGTACGTCCCCCGATAATCGTCCTCGTATGTGTGCAAGTTCATTTCCAGTATTTCTCTATTGAGGAATTAAATAATAAAAGCAGTTAAAAAGCTGCACAGCACAATTGTCCCATTATTTGCATTTGTGACAACGAACGACGGCGACGAAACAATCCCCGCCCCAACCCAAACCCAAACCCAGACCCAGATCCAGACCCAATCCCTATTCCAATGCCAATCCAGGGAAATCCGGACCAGAGTCATCGTCAGTGCCTGCGTCATCAACAACAATAAAAGCAATGGCGGCAATAGCGTAACAACAAATAACATGACAACGTTGTTGCTGCGTTTGCCGCCGATGTTGTTGTTGATATAGCCGCTGTTGTTACTGATATTGTTGGTATTGGAGGGCATCATCAGCAAACACTGTACAACACAATCGAGGAAGGGATGGTGCGGAGCGGCGACGAGAAATCCTCGTGGTTGTTTGATTCGAAAATTGAGTTTTAGCGAGACAAATAAAAATAAAACTTAGAACACCAGCGCAGCAACAAGAGAGCCAGGCCAAAGCGCACCCATTAAAAAGGAGTTATCACCCAATTTAGTACCACAAGCGCGGAATAACGCACGCACTTCCAGGGGGGAGGGGGTCGTAGGGTGTGGGTGTGAGTTTGTTTGTGTATCCCGTGCTCAGCTTGTCGACGTCAGTTGGAACAGCAAATAGACATACTGCAGAGCAAGCCATTTGACGTCAAATCCATATGAAATAGAACTTGGGATATCTCTAGCCGAAAACCTACGTGTAATAGGGGTTTGAAAACATTGAATATTTCAAACAGCGATGTTTTCTAACATTTCGATGTTTTTAAGTGAAATAATCGATACATCGCAATAATCGAACAAATTTAAAATGGAATAACAAAAATGTATTTAAGGTTAAAACAAGTTAAGGAAGTTATTTAATGAGATTAATGTTGATAAAAAGTAATTTGTCCACTACTGCAGGCTTCAGCGAGCACCTTCGGTCCGATATCAGTAGCCCTGCCACCTGGTGATGAGGCTATCCGATCAATATTTGCTAGTTTTAAGTAGTTATTTATTAGCATATTTAACGTTTAATATATAACTACCTTCATGTTGGTTATTACACTTTTTACGCTCTAAACAAAAACATCGATGTTAATATCGATGCTTCAAATCATGTATCGATTACGGGTATCACTTTCCAAACATCAATATATCGGTAAAAAATCGATTTATCGTCAAGCCCCTACGTTTAAATATACGTACATAATACATTTATAAATGTACAAGTTGTGTGTGAGTTCATTTCTATCCTGGTAATATAGTATTCATTTCAAGTTCCATTTCTGTACCTCTTCAAGTTTCCTCGAGTCTCGAGTCAACCGAGATCAAAGAAAACAGGTCAAGCCCCTTAAAATACCTCATCTGACGAAGCTTAAATAAAGTGTCATAAATATATCGATTTAATGATAAAAACTGCACAAGTTTCATTGCCAAGCAGGCCTTCCTGGCAGCTTGACAAACGTCATCAAAAAATTTTACGACTCCTCTCTTATGAGCGGACCAAATAAAAAAATTATATGCCACATAAACCTGATGACCGGCAGGCCAATCGGGCGGGTACCACTCAACAGGTAGGCCCTGGCCATCCCCGATCTCTGATCACGGATCCCAGGTCCAGGCCCATGAGTGGCATCTGTCGGGGCTGTAAAACAGCGAGGGGGGATTTCGATTGGAAATTAAAAATGCTTGGCAGCTGACGAGGAGAAATCAAGAGATGCCAATAATAATAAATTCGGTATTGTAAATTATTGGGCATCGTAAACGGGAATATGCTAATCGAATTCATTAATCTGATAATGAGGGTAATTAGTTCTTTGTTTCGACCGAAGGGTCTCTTTGGGCCAAATAAAAACTCACTCAAAGGAGCGCCAATGTAATGGCTGCCTCATTCAGAAGATTTTAGGAATGCAATTAACTGGATAATTCAGGGGGTCAGTATTTGCATTTGAAATAAGTAAGTTAATAATGATGTCACCATATCCTTAAATATTTTGAGTACGAGTCCAATATCCAGGGCCAGAAAATTGATTTTCCAAACCATCCGCTGACCGACGAATGGAGCCATTAGCATTCAGCATAAAGACCGACCATGAAATCGAACCGAAATCTCTTGGCTAGAAATTAACTGCAAATCGTTAACAATAATTCAGCGGGCAGCTCAACACAGTTCCACAGCTCATCGGAGGGGGATCGGTGGTGGCCGAGTGGTTTGCATTTAAGGCGATGATCGTACATTTTAATGGGCATATTTCACGCCAATCGCCCGTCGACGTCGCCCGATCCCATCCGTGGAAGCCGCCGGCTGGGGCGGCTGAGACTGGGGCTCTCGGCCCACGACGAATTCATAAAGTATCTCGCACTTTTTTTTAATGATATCTGAGTTACTAGCTAGCCGAGTGGGATCTTTAAC